GTAACGCCACCCACACAAGTGCATGTCCAGAGATTCTACGAGCAATCAGGAGGGTAGGTGGTCGTATTACATTGTTTATAAATATCTGGGGAGGGGGCACATCTGTAGGTAACGCCACCCACACAAGTGCATGTCCAGAGATTCTACGAGCAATCAGGAGGGTAGGTGGTCGTATTACATTGTTTATAAATATCTGGGGAGGGGGCACATCTGTAGGTAACGCCACCCACACAAGTGCATGTCCAGAGATTCTACGAGCAATCAGGAGGGTAGGTGGTCGTATTACATTGTTTATAAATATCTGGGGAGGGGGCACATCTGTAGGTAACGCCACCCACACAAGTGCATGTCCAGAGATTCTACGAGCAATCAGGAGGGTAGGTGGTCGTATTACATTGTTTATAAATATCTGGGGAGGGGGCACATCTGTAGGTAACGCCACCCACACAAGTGCATGTCCAGAGATTCTACGAGCAATCAGGAGGGTAGGTGGTCGTATTACATTGTTTATAAATATCTGGGGAGGGGGCACATCTGTAGGTAACGCCACCCACACAAGTGCATGTCCAGAGATTCTACGAGCAATCAGGAGGGTAGGTGGTCGTATTACATTGTTTATAAATATCTGGGGAGGGGGCACATCTGTAGGTAACGCCACCCACACAAGTGCATGTCCAGAGATTCTACGAGCAATCAGGAGGGTAGGTGGTCGTATTACATTGTTTATAAATATCTGGGGAGGGGGCACATCTGTAGGTAACGCCACCCACACAAGTGCATGTCCAGAGATTCTACGAGCAATCAGGAGGATAGGTGGTCGTATTACATTGTTTATAAATATCTGGGGAGGGGGCACATCTGTAGGTAACGCCACCCACACAAGTGCATGTCCAGAGATTCCACGAGCAAGCTGGAGGGTAGGTGGTCGTATTACATTGTTTATAAATATCTGAGGAGGGGGGCACATCTATTGGTAACATCACCCACACGAGTGCATTTCCAAAGATTCAACACGAGCAATCAGGAGAGTAGGTAGTCGTATTACATTGTTTATAAATATCTGAGGCGGAGGGGTACATCTAGGTAACATCACCTACACGAGTGCATGTCCAGATATTGCATGAGCTATCAGGAGGGTATAGGTTGTCGTATTACATTGTTTACAAATACATGAGGGAGGCGAGGGGGGGGGGGTCTAGGTGACATCACCAACAAAAATGTTTGGGTAACGATTCCACGAACAATCAGGAAGATAGGTGGTTGCATTAGAGAGATTTGACTTCCACTACCGCTACTCTCACTGGCTCATCTGATTGGTTAGTGATAGCAGTAGTAGAAGTCAAATCTGAATTTCTCTAATATATAACAATAAATAGGGTTCAGTAAGCAGTGTCATGAAGCAGATGAGAAGCAGAGAAAGTTGTGTTAATATGGTGCTCAGCGCTTGTCAAGCAGCAATGGGGAAATAATTATTTTCTTTATATGTAACCTCGATCCCAGTCTCTTTATATGTTGCAACCTCGATCCCAGTCCCTCTCCTCTAGTCTTGTCAGTCTTGTGCTTCTTACCTAAACTCGTACCCAGAGTATGCCCGTTCCCAGGTTAGGTGCTTGGAATGAACCTAACCTGCAAACGGGCATACTCTGGGTACGAGATTGGTGCTTCTTACCATAGGGGAAAGACCTGGGGACCACCATCGGCTTTCTCGTAACCCTTACTAAAAATCAGTAATTCACGGTACTTAAACTAAGATACTTTTGATCAAATTTTCAGCTCGTCTCAACCTTTCCCGGATGCAATCGTTTGTCAGTTGTGTAACGTGAAATGTCGACATCCCCGTGGCCTGCGCATGCATTTGCAAACCAGAGCTCATTGTATGGAAGAGAAAATTTTGTTTGACGATAGATATGCATTCGCCCATTAGCTGGAAACACAGACATTTTGTATCCTTGACTGCTAACTCAAGTTTAATACTCCGTGTTAACTTTGACCAGAATGAAGTTAGAATCTATCCAGGGTTAGATAGAATAGACAATTCTACGCGAAGTTAGAATCTATCCCTCTCATGGAATATTGTTGTTGCACTATTGCCGGTTAGTGATCCAGAGGTTGGTTGCCCGATGGCCAGATAACGCTATCCACCGGATTGTGATTTTTTCAAATTTTGCACAAATGCCTGAAAAACTGTGAAACCACGGGATATGGACCTCCCAAATAATAGAAAGCAGTTTTAATCGGTCAGTTTTAGAAAGCTTTAAAAAGTCACTACCCGGTAGATCGCTCTATTCGGCCTTCAGTCGCACAACCCGCCTCTGGGGTTTGTATTCCCATCTAGCATAGTGAGGTTGAAAGTTGAATTAAGTCAAAGTCCTTATTAGACTGGTAAAAGACAATTATATAAGGGGCTGTTCATATGAAGTCAAGCTGGCCCGGTTGATGAGGCTCTTATCATGGCTTTGCAAAAACATCCAAAATGACATTTCTAAGTTGAATTACCTTAGTTTGATTCCAGTAACAGTATGAAGTTTATTCGAACGATCTTTTGTGGGCAGGGCAAAATGTTCGTGACACGGTTCATCCTGGCTAACCGGGCTGCCCGGCTTATATGAACAGCCCCGATACTCTAACTGGATCTGGTTAATAATGACCAGAATAGGGTTAAATTTTAGCCAGGTGTCAGGTAATATATCTTCCAGCATAGTATGATTAAACTTGTTCAAAGATGATTAACAAAAACAGGAAAATTACCTTCACCCAAATAGTGTAAGCTTATGAGAAAATTTAGTCCGGGTGTTGTTAGAGTGTCGGTCTCGCTTTAAACGTGTCGTTAAATCTGCGTTCAATAACATACGTCACAATGCGGGAAACCATTAAAAATATTGGGATTTCAAAAATAGGTCATTAGCCCAAGATCACTAAAGGGTTCAGTTTCATGTCCCGTCATACTTTGGAACCATTACCAATGGATCCAACACAACACGCCTTTGTGTGTCATTTCATTTTGCCTCTTACAGAATATGTTATTTCGCAAGACAATAAACGTTGGCTTCGTTCAAAAGAAGGTGTGTTTTATAAAAAGATGTTGCATTGTTTTACGATAAAACATCGACTATGCAAGTTGAACTTCATAGTAAACGCCAAAATGAATGGTAAAAAATGAAGGCTTTTATGCACTGCATATATATAGATAGATTTAAGTTTGTAAATAAGAGAGTATACGCAAAGAAGTTATCTATACAGACTATAGCTCACTAGCTGTTTAGTTCTACGTTGTTGTGTTAAAAATAAAACATTTGTTACGTTCTTCTTCGTTTACGGCTTGTGCCACGATCAGTAGATATCCAATCTTTGTGGATGATTTTACTAGGAACTGATATGTAAAACAAACAAAAATTAATATGTATATTAATTTTGAACAGTCTACCAGTGTAGGTAGGGATACAACTACCTGAAAAAAACAAGGAGAACTTCGACGTTTCGTGCGGAAGGCCTGACGTTCTCTATCAATCCGTACCTTCATAATAAGTAATACAATAATAGCCAAAACGTTATGTTTTGAATATAGTTACATAGTTATCCCGTTGTGTTCTTAATTGAAATACAATGCTGTATTCATAAAGACCTTTCTTTTCCGAACAGTTTTGTATTGCACTGTTTGAAATTGGAATATATTCGCCATAAATTTACAACATACGCCGGATTTCTAGTGAAAGCCTTTCCTCAGAATCATCAAACTTAACCGTCTATTAAAATTAAATTTAATGATAGTTATTATAACCCAACAGTGTTTTATATAGAGTACACAGTATGTCGAACATATAAAACACTTGTTAAATAATTTTTCACCAATAATTGAGCACCGAGGAACACAAATCCTATAGAGTCCCAGTGTTTCTTCTTTTGGCCTCACGTAATTGCCCCTTGAGTGCTCTTTGAAATTCACAGTGTGAGATGGTCGTGTTTCCAACCACAAAATTAAAGAACAGTGTAGTTATTTTTAGCCATTACGTGCTCATTTCGAATACAACGCGGTCTTTGCCAGATGGTTTGAGTACGGAACCGATAGCTCTTTATGTTCAAACGGAATTCACGAGTGTTGTCGTCAGAATGTTACATTTAATGGAATATTCTAAAAGATTAAGTTATATTGGCTAGGTCGGTCTGTGTCAGTGTGAATTGTGCCAATAATAATAAAACTGCGGCTTCACAGGATCATAGGCGGAACGGGGGTGGCTAAGCCCTATGAAAAAATGGATAAGATTCGAAATTTTGAAGTTTATATTTTAAAATTGGGCAAATTTAGAGAAATAATTCGGGAAAGATGAAAGACCGGCAAATCTAAAAAATATATCAAGTCGAAAATATGTTAGTCCGGAAATTTTTTTGCGGGAAAAGTTTTATATGTCCCACAAATTATAGAAGTTAGCCTC